AATAATGTTTATGTTAATTTAGGATGTCCTTTCTAACAGTGGACAAAAGCTGTGTCTTTAGCTGTGTGTGTGTGTGTGTCGGGATGTGTGTTAAAAAAGAAGAAGAAGAAGGGTGATTGAGTGATTCACACTGCTATTGTGTCACCCCATGTCTTTATATCAATGTGGAAGCCACAGTTAATGAACATCAGAGAGTGGAGATGAAATCCACCTCGTCTTCCTTTTAATGAACCCTGAGACTCGGAGGGTCTGCATGTTGATCAGGACAAGTGATCACTGACAGGGGGCTCGTTGGGGTGGGGGGGGTCCAGCTATTTTCAATAAGATTTCTTTCCCTTTACTGCATTTCTGCAACTCTGAGGTCACAGACAAGGAAAGTTCACATCTGACTGTGGAGCCTTCAGGAACAGCGTTGCCGTAATCTGCAGACAAAGCTACAGTAAAAATGATTTGCTGTGACAGCGTCATCATCGCAGTTTCTTTTTAATGACGTGATAAAATAAGAGGATCATTTTTGCACTGACGTTTTTTAACATTCAATCTCCAAATTCGAGGATGTGGGTGGGAAAAAAAAAGGCGAAAATAACGGGACATTTCTTCGAGACGCAGCGTGGTTTTTAAACAAATAAAATAAAAGGCCACCCATCAGCTTTTATATTTGCACAATGGAAGCTTTTAATTCCGTTGGACCCTGTTTTTGTTTGTTCAAATCCATAACAAATTGTTTTTGTGTGTGGGGTAAAAAAAAATGAAACGTGTAAAACAATACAGCCTGCTCTGTCCAAAACAACACCACAAATTACTCCTCCCTGTCTTGACACGTTCAAATCCCAGAGGAAATAAAAGAACATCAGATTAAGACACAAGGACAGTTCCGTCAGTAAACAGGGATTAGGGGATTGGGGGATTTAATCTGATTAATGTGGAGCCAGTTGGAATATTGGAGATGTTGCTCAACAGTTGTATTCCAGATGAGGGGATAATCACACATTACTACGTCATTTATTGTACCCTGTTAGAGGTTTCAGAGCTAAACACAGCACCATATGTTTACCTGACCTCCGGGCTGCCTCAGAGAAACAGCACTTCCCCACTACAATGAATTAGAGGCTCATTAGGGGAGCGGCACAACATACAGAGAGAAACGTACAGCAGACGTGAGGCGTTCCTAACATATAAGTCTGTCAACTGCAACGATGGAGTTAAGATTCATTTATTTTTAGATTTAATTCATCTGTTTTTATCTTTGGTGAATCTAAACAAAGTCACTAACACAAGGAGGTCAAAGGAGACCAAGTTGCTGAAAACACAAATATTTTGCAGTTGGGTGTTCTTATAAATAATTAAAAAATTGATAAGCAATGACTGTAATACTACATGTCAGTATTTGATAGAAAACGAGTTAAATATTTGCGCTCTTTTCTTCTTACTGTCCACCTGTTCCACAGAGAGTTCTATAAAATTGAGTTATTTTGTAGTGAGATGCAGAACATTTTGAATTAGTTGACGTCTCACAGAAAGAAAATCACAGAATGTTTTGTGGCAAAATTGAAAAAACTAAATTTACACATATATTTGTGAGCCAACAAATATGATCCTGTCTGAGTCCAAACCCACAATTTAAAAAACTGTGATTACTGCTAGGTATTTTTAAAAATTAGGGCATTTTTCTTGCATTTTTGCCGTTTTATAAGAACTTGTAGTTCTTACTGTAACCATGTCACGGTCTTGTTGAGTCACGCTCGGAAATTAGGATTAGAGTTGGACATGAAACTCTGGTTAAGTCTGAACAAATGAAATTCAATGCAGGGTCCTCACAGGAATAGGAACACCAACCATTGTGTGTGTGTGGGGGGAGATAATGTGTGTATAGAAAATGTACATGTGTAAGTCTGTATCATGTATTGATACATGCAACAAATATCTTCAAATCATCCCTTAAACCATGTCCTCTGTTTGTTTTTGTAGATCTTGTAGAACTGCAGTAAAAGGAGGATTTTGAGGTTTAGTAAAAATGAAGTTTAGTTGGTTGTACCATCTGATTAAAACAACATTTTTAAGGTTTAGTAAAAATGAGGTTTAGTTGGTTGCACTGTCTGATTAAAACAACAACAAAAAACAAACACAGGAACATGTCACATGACCTGACCTCTGTACTTCAAGAGGATAAACGGAACTAGTATAAAAGAGTATTTTCACTGAACTTCATAACAGCGTTATCAAGTCTTGACCCGTAATGCACTGTTGTGAATTGTTGTAATTTATTTAGTGAACCAGTACTGACCTATTCTATTCTATTCTATTCTATTCTGTATCTGTATCTAAAAGCAAGTGTGAGATTAAGAAGTAAATATCAAACACACACATTCCCTCATCTGCATTGTGTGTACACCAACACCGACACCAGCACCGACACAAAGACAACATTATGCATTGCTATCAGTGCCATGACAAAAGTGAAAACCAGCCAGCACTTGATTTGGAGCCTGAGCCGCTGCTGCACATATATCTTTACCCTGTGTGTGAGACGCAGCAGAGATGGATCCACTGGCAGAGTTTTGCCTGCCACTGATATGAGGAGGACATTTCAATTCAACACGTTTATGTATATTTTGACTTTCTTGTTTATCATCCTTAGCATACATCACATCTGGGTTATAAACAGGCGTCCTGCCGGCCCTTGATATGGTAAATTGGACATTTTATGGTTTTAGGAAAGGTGATGTTTTTTTCCCTCCTCTTTTATCTTCAGCGTTTATTCATGAGCACCGACTCTGGCTGTAAATGCCTTTAAGACAGATTCAGCTTTATTAGAGTCATGAATAAAAACCCATGCTGCTGTTGTTGAAGACTGGCACCAGGTTGGTGGCCACTGGAGAAGGCTTTGAGCCTCCTGGTCTGGTTTGAATGGCTGTGTCTTTGCTCAGTCCAACTCATCATCATAACATTTCACAGACCCTTGTGTGAACATGACATTTTAGCAGCTTGTAACAGAAACTGGAACACGGAAGGTTTGAGAACCCAGGAGGTCAAACATCAAGAGGAACACAGTAGCTTTGAAGAGTTAAAGAACTAACGTCACCCTGGACGCCATCATCTTTTCGGTCACTCTGAAGTCTCCTCTGTGTTTAAACAGATTTGTAGATTTTTTTTCCCTTCAGATGCAGTTGTTGTGTTTTTCCCCTCACATATGGCTCCGTCTCACCCCTGGGGAATATCCTCCTCTGGGCTAATGTGAATATTAGTATGGGTTAAATGCTCCAGTCATTTGTGCATTAATGCATATTGCATAATTAATGTTTTCGCGACACCTCAGTTGCCAGCAGGAGGAGAAAAAACATCAGACAGAGCCTCAAATATTAATGTCAAATCCTGGAACTGACAGGATTGAAGCAGTTTGTCTCCTGATTATTTTCCATTCTTGATGAACTGAGCTGTACGGTGTGGATTAGAGGCATTCAGGATTGTGATTGGATTAAAGTGGACACTGTAATGACCCTGTTGTCGGAATAGTTCATCATACACAGGAACACAAAGCTGAGATCGGAGGCTGTGTGACCAAAAGGAAGGCTGGTGTAGACTGAGGAAACATCCGATGTTGGTTTTACGAAAAAGCAAAGGGACATTAGATTTTCTTTGAATTAATTTGATTAAAAATGTGATTAATAGTTCATTTTTAATGCTGCTTGTGGTTGTCATGGTCAGCTAAACACAAGATCTTAATTATAAATTAGATTACTCCAGATATATTTTCAATTTGATGGCTATTCAAAAGTATAAACTTTAAATTTAACACATTTAGGCAACATAGAATTATTGGCATTCAAATATAATGTCTTGTTTTTTTGTTTGTTTTTTTTTTGTTTTGTTTTTTTTTATCACCTGGAGATTTTGCAGTGCATCCAAAAATGTTTTCTAGACAAATTTCCGCCTACATATCTGAGAAATAAACACAGGGCAATTTTGACTGTGTTTGCCAAAACACTGAATTTTAGTTCTAATTTACATTTTCAAGGAATTAGTCTGTGCACACAATGAGCTTGTCAGAACTAGTTTTTTTCTTCTGATTTTCATTTTTTAAAAATAGAACAGAGCTTAGTTTTCTCTGTCCATGGTGCTGAAGGTAAACGAGCCTACACTCCTGCCAGGAAAAAGCAATTGTTTTCGCATAAATTTAGTTTTAAAAATATCACATATATATATATCATATATGCAGTTATACACATACGTGTATAAGTACCTCCACCTTACATAATCATCGTATTTGTCTCTTTTCTTTTTTTTGTAATCCAATACGACAAAACCCCGAGCTCGCTGACGCTGTCTCCACTGCGCTCATCAACCAGTGTGTTTCAGTCCTAAAATTTCACACTTGTTCTTTTTGGCCTTCGTCAAATACTTGGTGTGGACGGAGGAGTGAGGAGGACAAAGGGCGAGACGATGGCAGTGCAGCTGATGGCTGCGTTGTGATTAAAGACGCCAAATTACGACAATGAGCGCTGTCGTAATTACATTCCTTAATCACATTCTGGAGGCTCTAATTACCTTAACGATGTGTTTCATTGTGTGAAGCCAGGTATTACAGTCGACAGTTTTCATACACATTTGTTTTCGAATTAACACTATTACACACCTCATGGTGGCCGTTTTAATGGCGATAATACGCGTTATTTGTCTTTTTAATGATATTATTTGTTCGTGGAGAGCAAACATCTGCCTTCTGTCTGGTGCAGCTCTTCTGGCCTTCGCTCTCATCACTTTCTCTGACTCGTAACTTACGAAAACAGAAATAAAATAAAGCAAGAAGCAGGAAATAATGTCTCTCCCACAGAAATGTCCGCGGTGTTTACACCAGGAACCTCCTGTCTCTGGCTTTAATAACGTTATGTCGCAGTAAAGTGTTAACTTAGATCATTTAAATTAAAATATGAAAAAAATATTTTTCTTCATCCATCTTTCACTACACTTCACAGATGAACAAGCACAGCTGTGTTTGTTGTTCAAAATATTTTAATAAAGCTTTTCAACACTGATACACATACAAATGGCCCTCGTCGCTCATATAATAACTAAGGTATCTACACTATAGTCCACATCTGACCTGGCAACCCAAATTACCTCACTCTGAATGAGAGGAAAATGCATTAAAAAAACAGCAACTGAAGACTAACTACGGTGTGCAATACAAGCAAAACACAGCATATAAATATTTAAAATAATAAATTACAAAGAAACAGAGCAAAACACTTGATCCTTAGTTCATGTTTTCTAATTATTATTATTATTATTCTCATTAGTTTACAGTGCCCCACTCCTCAACATATACCTTTGATAGTGTCTGATGTAGCACATAATAAATAAGTGAGTCCTCACACCACTGATCTGTCTTCATTTAACATCGCCTTAGTTGATCATGACATTCCACGTGCTCAAAGTTCATGAAAATGGGCCTCGAAAAGCAGTCAGCAAGACGGCACGAACATGTCTCTGAGGTAAATCAAAGGAAAGGGAATTAAAAAAAAAAAAGATAAAGAAAAATATACCGGAAGCAGCAGAAGGTGAGGTTTGGACCGAGTCTCCAGGAGAGTGTCCAAGGATTTAACTGAAAAAGTTACGCAAGTCGTCAGGTCACCAAGTCTCCGACAGGTCCATAACTGAGCAGCTGACTCGAACTTTTAGCAGGCCTACAGTTCGGTCTTCACTGCCGTTCACACCAGCACTTCAGAGATGATCTATGTACACAATCAAGTATTGTTTGGACAAAAGCATTTTTTGTTTTTCAATGCGTTTCGTACATATTATATAAAAGTATTTGTCTCTAGCCTACTGACTTCACCCAGAATCTCCAAAAGTCTTCTCCCTCCCTGCCTCCCTCCCTGCCTTCCTGCTGCTCTCTCTCCCCGTCAGTTAAGGCTTGTCAGTGCACTGTTTGCACAGGCTGGAGGTGGCGTTGTTGAAAAGGGTACATTTGTCCGGACAGGCGGACGCAGCCACTCCGGTGGGGAAGGGATATCCAGTCGGCGGCTCGTACGCGCTCAGACCCGGAGCTGCGAGCGCAGTGGCGGTGGGTATGGCGGCGGCGGAGATGGCTTGGCCCTGGTTCAGGTACGCCACTAGCCTCCTCATCTCATCCAGAGCCTGCGCTTGCATGAGAATGAAGTTTTTGGCGAGCAGCAGCGTGGCGATTTTGGAGAGTTTGCGCACGGATGGGCTGTGCGCGTAAGGGATGACGGCTCTGAGCTCGTCCAGCGCGTCGTTCAGGTCGTGCATCCGCCGTCTCTCTCTGGCGTTGATGTTTAGCCTCAGTAATTTCTGCTCTTTGGATTTCTTACCTCCTTCTGCTTTACCCGCCACCCCCGTGCCCCTGTCTGACAGGAGCACCATGTCGCACCTGCCGTCGCTGTCATCGTCGGGGCTCTGCTCTCCACCGCTGCTCTCTGCAGCGGAGGTCCTGTTTGCGCTCTCGCCGAAGTTGATGCACAAAGATCCGGTCGGCAGACCTAGTGGTCCCCCTCTGACTCCTGCCAGCCCCCCAGGCTGGATCGGGTCACCGTCGGTCTGGTCATAGCAGCCTAAAGGCGACTGGCGGTCCCTGGTCGGGAGTTCGATGCCGGCCGATGCCCTGAACGGGTCCATTTTTTTGTTGGACACCGCGCTCAGAGTTTTGTGAAAAATGTCCCCCGCGCCGCTGTTCAAGCTCATCCTCCGGTCCATCACAGTCTCGATGCTGAAGCCACGGTCCAGTTCTGGAAACTCTGGACGAGTTTCTTCCACTTGTTTGTTTCCCTTTTACGAGTTTACTTGCGCGTCAGTGGTGAAGTTGTGGGTTTGCTGGACTTGTCAGCTGAGGTGTAGAGATGAGGAGGAGACCCGTGTATTAAAGTGCCCCCCCCTCTCTCTCTCTCTCTCTCTCTCCCTCTCTCTCTCTCTGTCTCTCTCTCTCCCCCTGAATCACCTTCACAGACTCTCCACCTTCGTCCTCCTCGTTACGCACAAGACGCTGGAGTCTTTTTACATCATTATCTCGAGGCGGGTTATTAAAAAGGATTCGCCTATTGGGACACAGACTCCTGCCCCTCTCTCCCACACACACACACACACACACACACACACCCCTCACCCCCCCTCACTCGCCACCCAATCAAGTTAACGTTTTAATTAATGGCCTTTAAACGATGACAAACATCACCGTGAACACTCCGTCTCCCTCCTTCACCATGTCTGTGGTCGTCTGTGGTGATCTTTATGACGGTGATGTGAGGAACCCCTCTACACTATAATGATCTGTGGAAGAGTAAAATATACTCCCTGATAAAGTATTACTTGTTGTGAGGACAGAAGTCATTCAGTCTCTATATGAAATGTTCGTATATAAACACTGAGTAATTGTTTTAAACCTGACCCAGTTCTAACCGTCTCTGCATATATATAACTTCACTCTTTACTTTGATATTTAATGCTATTGTACTAGACCATATTTAGAGTATATTTATATTTATATATGACTTGTATGTTGTAGTTTTTCGTACTTCAATCTACACCTTTAAAATACTCCCTTCTACTACTAATACGCTGCGTTTTCGCTCCGAGTCTTTCCCTGGAAGATCATACGATACTTATTGTGCTCATAGTGCCATCTATTGGTTGTAAGTGTTTAGTACAGCCAATGCAACGTCTTCATGGTGTCAATAAACGGCCTTTTGATCCTGCCACATTGAGCATCAGGGTTTAAAATATAAATAAAACCAGTTTATATAAAAATAATTCAAAAACTGTGATAAAATGCAATTAATCTCAACACCTGCAGTTCCTGTCAGGAGTATTTCCTAACAGGTCAAGTACAAAATAGTACCAGACAAACATGACTAGTAAAAGTGAAAAGTGACATTTGCGCTTAAAGCTAAAATCCTAAAACATAATGGCAAGAAGGTCCATCCATCCATCCATCCATCCATCCATCCATCCATCCATCCATCCATCCATCCACCCCCTCCAACCTAAATCAACACCATATTTATTGCTTCTTGGTTTCTTTGTCACTACAAGACAAACACTTAACACCTCGTTCTACACTCACACAGTCGATGTTGTATCCCTGCTTTTTTGAGCATATTTCAATTAGCTTCTGTTCCGTCGCTGCTCTCAGACGCTGTAAGAGGCCATCAGGGGCAGCACGCTTCAGGAATTATGATCTAACGAGTGGCAGAGACAGTCACTTTATCCTGAGACAGCAAGAGAACACCTTCATGGCCAATCAGCTCGGGCTAATGAGACAAGATGGACCAGGACTCTGCCACAGCCATTACAGCCACAGTCCGTCAGCACTTTAGAAACGAAGAGAGCATGAAAGTAGAACTGTGTGAGGAGAACACCAGCATCAATTTAGGTTGTAGTGAAGTACGTCAGGACATGAGAGCCAAGTCAGTGAGTGCTCAGAGTGTGTGTGTGTGTGTGTGTGTGTGTGTGCTGTGGATTGTATACTGTACTTTACACTCTGTGGTCTTTAACGCTGTTAGTCTGTGACGGAAACATCAGTCTTCAGGAGTGAACTTGTAAAATCAGTTTCTGTGCATGCGGTTCTGTAATAAAACCGTTAAGGATCACCTCTGACATATTATTATTATATCCATATAACGTGATGTCATCTTAATTTCACAAAGTCATGGGTAAAATATGCTTAAACGAGCAATGTAATAGATTTCAACTGCATTTTTGTTCTCTTACCACAAGAGGGCGCCTAAAGCCTTTGAGTGTTAAGCAGGGCACAGTCTGAGTCATGGTGAACAGGCTTGTGTGAAATCTGCGTGGATTTCAGTCGAGTTTTTTTTTTTGTGGTTATCAGGGGAGGCCAGATTCTGATGTGGAACTGTCATTGTTGTCACACCGAGTTGAGTGTCGTGTTCATGACGTGTCATAAACACGTTGCCTCATCTCCTCCCCAGGAGGTAGAATAATTACAACGTTGTCTTTGTGAACGCGAGCATCATAGTTACACTGTATTTCACCTACAGTTATTGGTCATTTCTTTTTTAGTTTTTTAGTTTTAGTTCATTTATTTTCAACTATTATTTATTTTTCAACCCAGTGCCACTGTCACTGTAGTTCATTTTAGTTTAGCTTGTTGATTAGATCTGGGACAGGGGTCTCACAATGCTCCAAAGAAATTAACCCTGAATATTGTTACAGTGTATTTCAAAACACAGATAATCTGGTTGGCTTGTACTTTATTTAGAATAAAACTTTGATTCAAAGATACTTGGTTAAAGATACTTCTCTTTATATTTGCCCCTACTGTATACTAACTTTTATATATATATATACATATATACTGCTGTTAATTTCCTCCTGATTTGCAAAAACAACTCGTAGGCTGAGATCTACTGGCGGGCAAGATCATGATGCCGAGCCATATATTTGACATCACTGACTAAGTGAAATATTATATTGATGAAAATCCTGAATATCAGCATCACCCCTGCAAAACCTCTCCTCTCATCCGTCCGTCCATCCATCCATCATCCATCACTCCTCCCACCAGTCTCAGAGATGATATGCTCAGACCCTGGGCTGATGTCATTAATCAAGATCTGATTACTGTGTCCTGACAAAATGGCTAAAACATAGCTTTCATTTTTCCTGAAGCTAGAAGGAATCGAACACGTTCAATCAGGGAGATAGTTTGAAAAGTTTACTTTAAATGTCTGATCACAGATTTTTATTTTAGATAATAATTAGACTCCGTCGGTAGTGGGCTACTTTAAGGTATAACGTAGTCCTGTCGTTCTTCATATAGCCTAGGCCAAATGTCTCAAATGGTCTAAATATGTTATATATATATATATTTGCCCCCACCCCCCACCCCACCCTAAAATATAATATTAGATATAATATTTGGAATAGTTAGTTATTTTACTGTTATGTTGCAGTGATTTCACCAGCTTGTGGCTCAGATGTGACAAAAAGCCGTGATATGTAACTGGGCCACAAATGTTTTGCTCTGTGGTTATTATGGCTAGGGTGGTACTCCCGTGATCGCCGTTAGGCGGCAGGCTAATACAGGAGGACGTTGTTTCCCCCTAGTGTAAATGCCTTCAGCCCACGGCTTCTGTTGGACACTGTATTCATCAGTTTTGTAGAAAGAAAAAAAAAATCCCCCGACGTGTCGGGCGACATTTCCGAACCTCTTTATAATTAAATTAATGGGAGTGTTTCAGTTGGCAGCTGCAGCCTACACTCCCTCTGCTCATACTTCCTCATTTCCATTCAGTGCGTGGCCCTCGCTTATGTAGAAATTAATATGCAGATCAAATAAATCATAATTTAATATCCCTGTCCTGTAGGGCCTTTTAGATGATTGCAGGGAGCAGAACTGGAGCTGCTTAACTGCAAAAAAAAAAAACTGTTTCCTAACAGAGTGGGGAGCAAAAATTATGCAGGAACAAGGTGTCAGTTTGTTCCCACTGAGGATTTTATAAACACCACAATTAAACGATCGTTGTATACATTTTATTTTTTTGGTAAATTGTGGGGATATTTTGGTTGGAAATAGTCAAGGGTATTATAATTGTGATATATTGAATTGCGACACTGTTAGATTTCTTTCTTTACAGTGGAAAAAAACAAAATATATTTATTTTAATAAGTGTAATTTTACGTTTTTCCCTGTGTTTGAATGCGTGTGTGTGTGCGTGTTTTTAATACGTGTGTGTGTGTGTGTGTGTGTCGAGGACTCGCATTCCTACACTCTAGTAACAAAACAAAAAACAAACAAATTTAAAAACCCCGACTACATCCTTTTTTTTCAACTTTCATACTTGTGAAACAAATGGCTCATCTGTAGCGCGTACATTTCAGCACCACAGAAGGTGGACAGCGCTCCCGTAGTACAGCCTCTGGTAGTGCGTGTATGGACAGCTCCGAATGGCTCTCTCTCTCTCCCTCCCTCTCTCTCTCTCTCACGCACACACACACACAGACAGACATATATATATAAATATATATATGTATATATGTATATATATGTATATAATGTATAAAAAACAACAGCTTTTGGGGGATTTGTTGTGTGTGTATTTATTTTTATTTCATAAGTCAGACATTTTCACAACAATCTCAAATTCGTACTTTTTGTTTTCCAAAATATAAACGAGTCTTCTGGAGAAATGGGGATCATCTCTTGGCATTCACCGCGTGCCTTAATTGTAAGACATTAAATCAAGGTCCGCTGTGAACACGGAGAGACACAACCCGGCTCTGTGACTGGACGTGTGTGTGTGCGTGTGTGTGTGTGTGTGGATGCGAGAGTCCAGTTGACAGAAGCTGCACAAAATCTGATACCGTTAAAAACGAACCGCATTTGAGGCCTGTGTTCAGATGACAAGTTTGCCAAAAGGTGAATATTTGAAATTTGGAGAAAAAAATAAATACATAAAAAGATTTTTTTTTTAAAAATCCAGTGTGCCTCTGAGGGTCCAGAGAAATCCGATCCACTTCCCGCTGCACCGCTGTCTTACCTTAAATGTTTAAAATAACCTGAACTGCCTTACCTTAAATGTTTAAAATAACCTGAAAACAACAGTTGAATATTTATAGAAACGATGTAAGCTTATACAAAATGACTTTTACGCAAAACAATGGCCCTCGGTGGATTTGAAGGGAGTTATATGTCCCACGGTTGTGCGTAAAAGGACTCCGTTTGATCTGATTCCATTTTGACTGCTGTTTCCAAAAACATACAAGTCGTCCATTATCCAATGAAGAACCTACAGGAAGAAAGAAAACAGAAAATGCATCATAAACTTCATACAGGTTGGCAGATCTCATATTCCACAATGACCTTTTTGCCGTCCAATAACAGAAAAAAAAGTCACTGTCCATATCCGTGTTATTGATTTTCCTTGTCACATAAACCACACGGATTTTTTTTCTCTCTCTCTCAGAGACAAACACGAGGCTGTAGATTCTTCTAGTCGCGGG